GCATTAAGTTGGACTTACAGCAAAGAAATGTTGAAATTGCAAGGATTATGAATTAACTGCATGCTGAAATGAGCAGTGTATCTATTTTTAAGGGTCCCAATCTTCTAAGTTTGAAGTAAGATTATTTTTTTAATATTAGTGACATAATAGGAAAGTTGAAAGTGCACATTAACTAAAATCACCTAAGAAAAGGCAAGAGTAAAATTAGTAATGGTGATCTGAATGCTTGAATAGCTGTAACATTGAGATCTATTAGCATTTCTTGAAAGTTCATGGCAACAACTTCCTTGCAACTGTTTTTGATTATCTCCAGTTTATGATTATCTATATTAATCAGTGGTGCCAGAATAGAATCTATGTTCAACTTACACAACTCCCTCTTTTTGAGCTCTTGTAGGTGATATAAGCTACGACCTTCTCCAACAGAAGAGATGGCACAGCCAGAGAGTGCTCCAATAGAAATAAAAGTAAAACCACATTCACAGAAAGCAAGAAAGAAAACTAAAAGCTTATTGAGCTCAATGAGTTCCTTGAAGGGACACAATGAAAGAACAACCTCCCCCCAAATCAAACCATGGACAACAACAGATTGAAAAAAAAGAGAAATGACCAGATCCTCAGGTAGTGTAAAACCCTGCAACTCTACTGCTTCAGCAGAGTCTGCTGATTCTCACTAGTTGAGGAGAGGTCTAGAGATTTTAATTTTATTTTGTTGGGCACTAATTATTGCCAAAGTGATTAACAATTATTAACTTCCTTGTTGCCATTGATCTTTACAGAATCTTTTTTTTTTTCTTCTCCATATTTTCGATCACCTTGCTCTCATCCAGGCAATATTTGTAGTCAATTTTTAAATGCTTGTTTTAAGAATGTGGAAATTAGAATTAAATTTGATGTGCTAACTGCTGTAGTGATTGTTATGTACTGCTTTAGAAAGAAGCTAAATTAGGCATGTATAGGTTGTAAACAGTAAATGATAATGCTTTCCAGTGTATTTCTAACAGGTAATTACTTGGTGACTCTTCAACTAGGGCCCTTAGAAATGACATATTTCCTCCGAAAAAAGGACATTATGTCTATTCTAACATTGTTTTAAGTGTAACGGCACATTTCGAGGCATGCGCAGCTATACAGCCAATGACAACCTTACGGAGATACACCTTATTAGCTTTGACAGAATGCTAATAAATCTCCAGCCTGGAGGGTGCTCCCTGGGGATGCCTGGCGCCTTACCTTTGACATGGGGGATGAAGTGATGTCGGAAGGGGGAGTTGGGGCGGGAGTCATGGTGAGTGGAGCTGAGACTGCTAGTGCGCAGGTATGACAACCGCTGCACACCAGTAGAGAGCAGCTCTGCGGCAGCAGGGAATCGGGGGGCAGAACAAAATGAAAACAAAGAAAAACAATAAGAGAAAGGCAGGGAAGGAGGCTTCAAAGGAAGAAAAAAAAAGGCATTGAACAATTAGGATTCTGAAAAGAAGGAAGGAGAAAAAAAAAAGGTTAAAGACATACCAAAGGGTTCATAAATGTTAGACAAAATTACAGGAAGTATTAGAAGAGAGGCTCAGATTTGAACTGCAGCACTAATTTAGCATAACATTTATTCGCTTAACGAGCTTCTGATCTATGCCTTGTTACTTAAAAGTAGCCCGCTACCACCATGCAAACATCAGACATTGACGATCAATTAGTTAAGGAAGAAGCTGTTTTGAAAAGTACCTGACCAAAAAATGTCAGTCAAGAGACGTGTAAGCTGCCTTCTACTGTTTTAAGACATTTAAAAAATGCTGCCAACATCAGCTAGGACACTGCGGGAGGAAAAGGCTGCAAACTTTTTCAAAACTTGTAGCACTCAAATTTTTGAAGAACCTTATGCTGACAACGTCAACACACTGGTTCACTTCTCTCTCAAGGGCTAGCTGGGAGCCAAAGAGAAGTTATCTGGGGTCACGGGGTTTATTCAGAGAGAAATTATTCTTGCAAATAACATGATGATAAGAAGTGCCATTAGGAGAAAAATGGTAAATAGAGATGTGCTATTTTTCAATACAAATAATTACTGTAGGAAAATTATAAAGTAGCATTAACAATTACCCAAAAGCAGGGTAGCAAAGATCAAAATGATAAATTCTACAGAATTACTTCTGTGTCATATGAGAAACAGAAACAGGTGAGCCAAAGATGAGATCATCTGAACAGAGCTAAGTTTGAACAACTATCTTCTCAGTAAAGGCCTCAGGCTGCAAACTTTTGAAGATTTTTACATATGGATCCAAGCTCTGGCTTGAGCCCATCTGGCCATCACAAGAGTTACATAAACAGAGACTGCTTCTGGGGAAGGTCCTTGACTGAACGCAGACAGTAAAACTCAATCACACTAAAGTCTGGAATAGAGCCTGGATTTGTTCATATCCCTGATACAACTGAGACAAATGGAAAAATCCCCTCAGAATTGCCAGAATCAAGAGGCAGAAGTTTGCAGCTTTTTCACGCTTTTAAGTCTCTTTCGGTTTCAGTTGTAACATCATCTTAAAACAGAGTCATGTTTTCAGCACTAAGCATCAGACACAATTTGCTTCTGTCCCACCCCCCCTAGGTCCCTTAAATAAGGCATTCACTGACAGATACAATTAGCTGCTTTCAGCCCACCCCCACTAGGAAATGGCTACAGCGTTCAAGTTCCACACTGGTGGCTCTATTATAAATCTTTAATTTTAAAAATGTAGCTCCTGTTGTATATGGGCTTTTGGCATCCCAACTGTTCAGCTGTAATCACCAAGGAAGATGGAACTGCACGATTTTATCACTTAATTTAAAAACAGATCACAAAGACTTAATTCATTACCATAAACAATAAAATCAGTCTTGAAAAGTCTTCAATGAATAGCATTTAGAGATAAATTTTTTATGCAGTTTGGGTGTGGATGAACAGTTCATTTTCATATCTTGCTTTTATATACACAAGCAGTAATTTTGAATGCACTGGGAACCTGATATTGTACATAGAACTTGTACGTCACTGCTAAACCAGTAAATGGAAGTTTGTGGTTTTTTTAAATATTCCCAGGCAACTGCCTACAGCTTTAAGAAATCTACCTTGTGAATGCTTTAAAAATGACTAGCAATTTGGAGTATCTCAGGGTTTTGCTGCTGAATCTGAGACTCCATGGCTGCACCAAGCTTTAAATGAATTGGGTTTTAGGAGGAAGGAATCCTACATCACTGACTTCCATACAGTCAAGCCATAACTTTCGTTTCCAATATATGATACTTTTCCAAAATTCCAGAATGAAGTTTGTGATTCACTGCTGCAAATTTTTTCTTGCTTTCAGAAACACACACAGTTTTAAAAAATAATTAATCATCAGAAACAAAACCAGAAGATCCATATTTACGATGTAAGAAATACTCATCAGCCTAATGCAAAACACTACATCAATCAAGACCAAAAAAAAAAAAGTAGAAAATGAGATATTAAAATATGCAACAATTTTTCAATCCTGAATTTTCACTGCTAAGAGAAACAAGTGCTTTGCTGAGCCACTAAGTGACATAATAAAGAAAGAATAGTTTTACATATACTTCTAATGCAGTTGCCCTTACCAGGTCTGTGGAAATGCTGAGGTGAACGTGACATGGTGGGTGTGTAGCTATGACGACTGTACACAGGAGAATTAATGGAGCCCTGACTAGTAGACCTGTGAATCATGCGATCCCGAACATCTTGATAACCCTGCAGAACAGAAGCATTCACTAATAAATGTAAATGCACATTACACATTTTTAGCAGCACTTAACTTTCATGGATCTGAAGACATCAGCAGAAGCTACTGAAATAACAATATCCCTTAAGCTCTCCACCTACTTCATTTTTACTGTTCTCTAATGATCTGTTCCAAAGACTCCAATCCATTTTTATAGTCTGGGTCAGAGTTCAGTCTTGGAAGGTTCCAACTCCACCTGTAATTTCTATTAAATTCTATATAATCCTAGATTTGCCCACATTCCTGTGACTCCATAAGGGAAGCTGCATTCAGAGTATGTCTGTACATTCAGAGTATGCAGCGTACTGCACAAGACATATGAGCTAGTCTTCAGCTAGCTGACTTGGAGATCAGCAAGAGTTCAATAGCTGCAGCACAGAGCTCTTTGTGGCTTAATTTACCATGGGTCTTGACTAGCTACATCAAAAGGTATTTAGTATCAAAATTAGATTCTCTTTGTATCTAAAAACATGACACTTTCTTGTATATAATTCAATTTACTTAGTTTCCTGGGAGAAAAAAAGCGCCAATTAAAAAAATCCACAAAAACCCCCCTCAAAACAAACTCACCCACCCCAAAAACCCCACAAAGCAAACCAAGCCAGGACCAAAGGGACAGGACTGATGTTAACGCATGAAGATTTACAAGGAATTTTATAGTAAATTTTTTTAACGTGTAGCAATCACTAGAACTTCTACATTGCAAATAAACAACACTCCCCAGACCCAAAATGATAATACTTCTGCAATGGCATCTGTTGTATCCTGACAAATGACTTCCCAAATGTTTCATGTTATTGTGATGTTCAAATTAACTCCCAGGAAAAACCAAACCAAACCATAGTTATGTTTTCTTCAACAAAAAACTGCAAATGTTCTAGTAGCAGACATGGCTACTACATTTAGATGCTCAGAGCAACATTTTAGCTCATGTAAATCATCCACCTCCTGAGATTGGAGTCCACCTGTGCCACAAGAAGGATGAATGTACTGGAAGTGACCTCTACTGGAGAAATGACTCTGCTTTATAGACAACAAACAGGTAGGAGCGGTAGCTTCAGTTTTTGTACAATCTGTCAGTAAGAACTTAATGTTTTCTTTTTAGAGTTAATTTTTGTTAAGTTTCAATATCCAGAAAATATGTCTATGTGTGGCAAACAGAGACAGATCAGACTGACAGCAAAATCAACACCTGCATTTGCTGAAGTGAATAATTCTAATTACAGTAAGATACTGTGCCCAAAGGTTCCATCAAACTTACTTCTGCAGAAGGCGTAGGTGATAATGTCCTTGGAGACTGCAAAGACATAAAAATAAGGTTACCAAAACATCACTGCATGTGCTGGGCCAGAAAATAGCAATCTAACCATTGCTGCAGATACATAGATATATGGCAATGCAGAAATTACTGAGGCCGTCGCAGCACTGGAACTTGCTTTTTCCCCATTGCTCAGGAACTGGTCCATAAATCATTGAAGCAATTAAAGTTTCTGGGAGAATCTTTATAAGCATGATTAATTCAGTCAAACATCATGCAACATCATCTCACAGCCACCTAATCATTGTGGTAATTAAAACATAGCTGTAAAGATCAACATCAGAAAGGTTTATTAATGTAATAACCATGCCTGTTATGAAGAAATCTTTACAGTGGAAATCAAAAGTAAACAATCTTAACTCAGAGCTTTGCATGGAAAATCAGAAAGATAGAATAACTTCCAGGATGTTTTTCTTCTAGCACACATACTCTGGCAAAAATGTGCTTCTCCCCAAGGCCTTACATTTCATACCCATGCAAACAGGAATGTAGTTGTCATCAACACTTCTTTGATATGATCTCCTTTAAATCTCTGTGTTCTTCCATGGTTACGTAAGGAAAACAGACAGGAATGACAAACGTGTATTGAAAGAACTGTGCAAAGGCTGGTGGGCAGAGATATGCACAATATTATGAAAAGTTTCTATGATAGAGATAGGGAAATTGAGGCAAAAAATACCTTTAGAAATGAAACACAGGATTAGGCATACGTTGATGGTATGAACAAGAATAAAGGCTGTGTATAATTACCAGTTACCTGCCCTTTAATCACAAGACAATTTGAAGCTGGAAGACTGGGATTTAATTATTTTCTTCATGCATCAAACTTCAATATTATTTAATTGCCATAATAAACTGGGCAAGAGATTATGCTTTTAAATAAGACCACAATTATTATAGAATGAAAAAGTTATTGAGATAATGTCTCAGAAGCAAACTTGCTAATTCTGGTCTATTACAATAATGTACAACAGCAGTAGTGTAAAATGTATGCAGAATTTCTGGTAATAAATATCCAGCTACACCTTTTGCATTGAGAGACCATTACCTCTCATGGAGCTGGTGACACTGTGAATGCGAAGTATCCAAACAAAGGAGTGACATTTTTTATTTGGGTACAGAACACCTTCTTTTCAGCAAGTTTCCATAAAGCTTTTTAAAGACTGCTTTCGTCACTTCCCATCAAAGCCTTGAATGTCTTTTACATTCTTGTTTTCCTAATCCTTATAAATGCACAAGTTCTATACAGCAAACCACCATTTCATTATAGATCTAACAGCAGCAGCTATAAACACTTTGGTCTACATGAAACATATCATACACAGTGCTTTGTAGCATCATTCTCCACAAAAACTGAGATCTAATCTAAATCTTTCAATATGAATGGAAAAAGCACATGTTGTGATGTGCACTCCCACATTTTTCTACTAGTAATTTATGTGTTCTTGTAAATAAACAAATTTTCATAATCTGCTGTGGTTGCCTAGATGCTAAGATAATGACTACTGTAAAAGGTAGTCACAGGAATCTAAGACTTGGAAGGCATTCCAGAAAGTACTGTGCCGAATCCATGAAAAACCTTTATCTATTTTTACTGCACCACTATCTGACATCATCTCGCTGCTTTTTGGGAAATGGAACCACACTTTGCAGCCCACTTACTGTTTTATCGTGCACAGTTGAACTGCCATATCTCAAACTCTTGAGTCTGCCAAGGAATGCTTGGTTCTTCAGGGTTTATAAGGTCTTTTAAAATCTGGTATATCACAGAAGTCTTTACACTAGTCAGTTAGAAATACACTGTGCAGTTGACTGAGAAAAAACAGTTCAGTACTAGAATAGTAAGCTAGTGGAAATACAGAGCAATGACTTCAGATTAAAAAGAAAAGGAAAAAGTCTAGACAGAAAGCCTGTTCTTACAAAGTTTACACTAAAACTGCTGCTCACTGCAACAGGCTCAAGGATCTATCACTTTGAGATCTAAGGGGCTCCTCCAATACCTAAAGTCGTACAGGTCATTTTGTGCTCTGGGAAAGTCGTGCAAACTTTTACAGGTGTCATTTCATAACACACGTTCCAGCATTCTGCACCGACCTCATTTTAACTGTCTTTTTATTGAACTACCCGGTAAGATGCCTGCTCCATTTTGAAGCAACTATCACATTAGGAAAAATACTTTTCTCATTTTATGACATCTTGTTTACTGAAAGTTGTTACAGACATTCACTGCTTTCAACAGACAGAATACTAGAAACAAAGGACATGCAGGTAAAATGCTGCTTCTCTCAATGTTTATGCAGCAAAAGTCGGAGCTGAGAAAAGACTTGATTTCAGTGCTAATCAGTTTGCTGCTAGCAGGGCAGAAATTATAGGACGTGAAGAACCTGAGTAACTGCCAGTTTCTGGAAACGTTATCACGAAGGGGCTAAGTAGCAGAAAATGTATTTACGATCTCATTTCATATCTCTTAATCTCTTTTATATTAGAAGCTAAACCACCATGAGCTCCCTTTCTCTTCCCCACTAACTGCTGGCGGATTTGTAACCAAAATGCCTTGTCCCGCTAGATGGTGCTACGTGATAACGTTTTTCATCACAGACTTCCAGAAAAACAAGATTGGGATTTAAATGAACAAGAGAGATTAAGAGTGAGAAACTTTTCAAAGTATTTCCCTTCCATTGCAATAAAGAAGAAAGTTTCATGCTATCTTTTCTCACTTTCTATGGCTAAAGCATATAATTTTCTTGTAGCCCATTCCCTGTAATTAAGGTTTGTCTCCACTACTGGATTAACTTTGGTAGCTCTTGCACATCTCCCTGGTATACCCAGAAATCTTTCTTAGCTTAGTTTGGTGTGGTTTTTTTTCCCTTGTTTTTCTTTTTTAAAATCATGGTGAAGGGCATTTCTAGTGTACAAGCTTTAACTCAGGGACCCCTTTTATTTAACACTACCACATACACACACTTTGCAAAGAGAATGCAGGTTAAATCACTCATAGTTTGCAAATCCCTGCCATGACTAAACACGTCACCTCCTTTGCTTTTTAAAGATGATGGTGACTGATGTATGATGTACCGAGATTGAGGTATCACTTGATTACCACAACACAAACACAAAGTAAGAGATCACTCCACCTCGATGGGCTTGTGTTCTCATTAGGGCAAGGGAAGGGACGAGAAACAGATACAAAGAGGTGAGATAACTTGCCCAAGGTGACGGAAGTCAGCAGCAGCATTGGGTGGAAAATCCAGATCCTCTGAAAAGAAGGTGAAAGCCCTTCTGTTTCCAGAACAAATTTCTGTAGTCACCAGAAATTAGTTGGATTTCATGCTGGTGAAAATACGGGGTAAGAAAACCCCAAAGGCTTTTGTTTATCCCCAGAACAAGCATAACGGCAGACAGCTTCCACCATACTGCTTTATCAGGTTCCAACAAACTGCTTTGTCAGTGTGAAGCTTCCCCTTAGGGATTAACAAATAGTTCACCTTCTTTGGGTGAGGTTAGCTCCTCCTCTGTGCCTAACAAGAGACTTGTGTTTGTAGAGGGTTTTGTGGAATGGGTCGGGCCTGTTGGAACTGGTCAGAAGTCACCAATGCATCTCACAGTGGTTTTGAACCAGATGTCAGCTGGATTCACTACCAACATAAATTTGAGGGGGGAAATTCTGTAATATTCTGACTTGTTAATCTCTTATCTTATTCCAGAGCTGAACAGTCTCCTGAATTTTCAAGTCATGTTATAATTTAAAAGACTAATCCTACAAAACATTAAAGAACAGAGTAGAAAAACTGAGGCAGCTCTGATCTGTTGCTAAGAGAGCAGATTATGAGGCGCTGATCTGGGCATCTTCAGACCACTGGTGCCTGAATGATTCACAGTACTTGGCTTTTCCTCAGCTCATCTTCATATTCAATTCAGTTACAGTCAGTAAAGTCACTGAGATTGCAAGGAAGTAAATCCATTTCTATCTCCATTTAAATATGCATTCTGCAAGTCAGATGGCATTACATGAGAAAATCTGCTTCATGATCTGCACTGGAACCATATAAATAGTAATTGCAGCTATGGAAGTTCACCAGAGAAAAGTGGGAGACCCTACAACCTGGAAGATATCTTTAAAACCAAATTTAAAAGAATAAATTAGATGTTTTTTCCTATCACTGCAGGATACAAGAATCCTTACTAAATGTCAGCAGTGTAAATGTGAGGCAGCTATTTCCATACTGCAACTAGCCTGCTTTCCCAGGTGGAAGCGCCCTTCATCCTGACCTCATTCAGATTTTATCCAGTATGTCTGGCAAAGTGCTCTGGAAATACATTTCCCTTCAATATGTGTGAGAGAAAGCATCCCGCTGCTCTTACTCCTTTTCCTGCTACAGAACATCACGCTATTCCTCACATTCTGTTGTCAATACCAGTGCTCTACAGCACAGCACCAGGTTGGATTTGCCTCACATTCTGGACTTTGCCGTACCCGAAGACAAAGATATCCATCTGAGTTACGAGCATGCACATGCAGACAGGCTGCAAATCTCCCCCCTCCTATTCCTCTGCCAGTGGCTGGTGTCAATGTAGGTGTTTAATTGTGTGTTTAGTTGCGCAGTTTTGCACATGAGGCCTCATCATGATTAAACCCAGATCAAACAGACAAAAAGCACTTTGAACAGCAGCAGCAACAATACCAGGAGTGTCAATTAGAAACTGTTTTGAAAGAGGGTAGAAGCGAAGCAGGCTTTGAATAAAGCTTATAGCAGAATGGGTTGCTTGTGGGTTCATTACCTCTCCAAGACTCTGTCTCTCCTGTCTGTCCTCGTAGGCGGAAGTGTAGAATGGCTCATAAGTAATTAGGTCTGGACGTTCAATGTCATAAATGGCCTTGACTTTGGGAATGGCTGCTAAATCCTTGTAATCAAGGATCTCATTGTCTACTTTTGCCTGAAGGTCAAAGACAGAAGATAAATTAACTTACACAAATGCACCGGTAATTTCTATTTTACACAATTTATGATTTTTGTGTATTTGTTGTCACACTGTCGCTATGGAAAACCCTTTTTTGGCACTTTACATGTGAAGTGATTGCTTCTTGTTCTTCTCCAGTAGGCCTCCTCTGCAAAAGCACACAGAGTATTTTCAGTTTAGGAAAGAAAGACCATGGTATATATAGATCTAATACAAAAGGTTCTTAGCCGCAGTAGTGACCTGGAAACTTCAGCTCTGCAAGTGATTAATTTTGTGGCCTCAGGCAAGTATTTTCACCTTTCTGCTCTTGTTTTCCCATATGTAAAATGTGTGATAACATCAACTTAGTTCACTTATTACAGAGATTATGAGAGGATTCCATGCAGAAGACCACAGACAGAAAGGCAACTAATAACTGCACACGAGAGGAAATACAACTTATTACAAGGAAATAAAGAGGCAAGCAGGACCATTTGTCAGGACTGTGTATCGAAGCTTCCAACTGAAATTACTATACTGCACGCATCATTCAATGCTTCTGACTAAGGCATATGTTGCTTACTAACTGCATACTACATAGTACTACCATTGACTATTTTTCAACTAAAACTGCAAGGAGCTCTTAACTAGTTAAAAAAATGGAAGTAGGAAATCAGTTCCAAAGACAGCTGAACCCACCAGAAGGAAGGAGAAAGAGGTCTTACATATAGTTTAGATAGCTAATACCTTTCCTTACTTAAAAGAAGACTTGTTAAAAAATCATCATATATTTTTACGTACCTTACAGAAATACATTTGATGACTAAAACTGAAAGAGAATATTCAAACTGATTTTCAACTCTTCTACTAGATATTTTATTTATTCATAGTAGGCTGCACAAGGAAATGAGGCTGATGTGTTCCTAGTCACATTCAGTTCCATTCTTCCCGAGTACTAGCACCTAATATTTTCAGACTTAAGTGCATTTGCCTTCCCAAGCTTTCCTAACAACCACTGGTCTTGGTGGTTTTTAAGCAATGCTGAAAATTAGAAACAATACAAAACAGTTTTTGATAGAGAAGTAAGGTTTGAAATAGTTCACTTTCTAAAAATAGCCTCCAATCTGTTTAGTTTTGACTTACCGGATACAGCAAAATAACATAAGCCAATTTAACCCTTAAAATACATAGGTAACGTGTGTTATTTCTGTAATAATTTTGCCACAGTCTGTTTAATAAGCTGCAAATCTGTCTGGATATTCTTAATCAAATATAAATTACCATTGATATTTCTGTAGACCCTGGTCTAGGCCACCACGTTGCCCTACAGACTGTGCTGTTACGCAGCAGTTAAGTTTCATAAGCTACAGCTTATGAAGTTGATACTCCCAGTAGAATGGCAGTTCTCCAGGACATGCTCTGTGTTTTGATATCTGCAGTGTGAACATTTTTCAGCCCGGCTGACCCTCATACTCACGTCTGCAGAGAGCAGACCTCCCAAGAACAGCGTATCGAGGTGCACGGATCTCCTCACATAACCCCTAACAAAGCCAAACGACCTGCCTGCCCTCTGTCCCTCTTCACATCACCAAATGACTTCAAGAGATAGACTGTATCTTTCTAAGGGAAACGCGATATGGAAAAGGCCTGCCCTGCTCTTGAAATTCTGTAGTTATAAACCCCGTGTCTGTCGTGGTGAGAACTTTAACAATTTAACCACTACAATGACAGCACTAGCATCAGTATAAAAGTGATTTATTTCAGCATGGAGTATTTCATGTGCAAGCAAGGGATCGGCAGCTTATTCATCAGAGGGAATACTTACATAGATAGTGTGGCCTGGAGAGCCAGGTATACTGGAACCTGGTCTGGAATAAATGCTTTCTGATGACGTTCTTGTAGGCTGAAAAACAAAAAGTAACTTTTCAGAGCAACCTGAAGCCATTCACACTGGTAATTTTGGTTTTAAGTGGAGAAATCTGTATACATCTTGAAATTAACTGATTTTAGGAAAAAATGTCAACACAAATGCAAGCATTCTGGCAAATTTCACAATCTTGCCAGGCAGGTGGGCTTTTTTTTTTTTGTAGGGGAAGGAGTGTTGTGAAAGGGGAAGGAGGTTTTCTAATTCATACAATGTAGAAGACTGACAACAATAATGAACAAAACCAAACAGCTGCCAGAGACACTGCAAGGAGCCATACAACGTCCCATCCACGATAGTCCTGCTGGTCATTTTATCAAAACGTTAATTCACAAACAGCTAGAGGTATCAGCAGTTCAGCAGACAAAACTGTTGAGAGGAGCACAGCACACACATTATCACTTTCCAGATGTTCCATCACTGGATTTCCATTATGAATATAGAACTGAATTCAGCCCTTCTAAGTAGAAGGGCCAGAAATCCTTGGCTTGGAGCTGCTCCCTACATCTGCGGCACAATTTAGATGCAATATGAAAGCTAAACTGTTGATTGAAATTTCATTATTCCCCATACTGCAAAAGCCCTGATGTTTAAGGACAATGCCCTGCAAACTGAAATTCATGAGAACCCCTACAGAGCGAGTGCAGTTACACATTTAGCAGATTCTCCAACACTTCATCAGGACTAAACAGACACTGATTCCCTGAAGGAAGTTTTGTGAAAGAAGACAAACTTATCACTGAGATTTGGGGATCCTGAAAACTTGATGAATTTGAAAAACATCTATTTGATCAAAAGTCACCTAGGCTATTGTGGCAACTACTCCTAAATTTGGCATGCAGCAGACACACAAAGGCAGTCAATGAGTCCCACTCGCAACTGAGAAACCATGAACAATTTTTGCTCCCTAACTGACTGCAAAGAACCAAATCCCATCACAAAGCAATGCATCAGCAGATGACTCTGATGACACTAGGGCAGTGGGATACTTCAAAGTCACTGAAAATTGAATCTCGGTAAATAGTCCTTACCTTGTCAGCTTGTGACATGCAACTAAGGGACCTCCACGTACACACTGAAAAGAAACAAGGCTTGACAGCCTGGCTCACTGATTTTTCTTAGGAAATACCTGGAGCGAACACAACAAGGCTACTGGACCTTTCTTATCTCTCAGCATACATTTCCTGAAAGGATCCTTCAACAGACTTCAGAGTTTTTCTACCTTTTATTTCATAGCCAGAAAAGCTATTGCAACCATCCACATAAAAACTGCTGAAGACTAGTCATGGATCATACAGCAGGCTTTCTCTGACTTCATTAGTGGAAATGAAATCACAACATTCAGGGAGGGTCAGAGGAATAAAGGCTTTGAACATGTTCCACCAAAACCCACGAAGATGCAGATCAAACAGAGAGCAGATGTGGCCGTGGACTGACACTGCCACAAATCCTCTTCCACAGCGTGTCTGAGAAGACTTTCTCAGCTGTACCTTTATGTCTGTCTTTCCTTTTCTCTCTAGTTGCAAATTCCTACATCCCAAAATAGAACAGAAATTTCTCAGTTGCCCTCCAGCTCCTTCCGTGATGCAATCAAAGCAAAAAACCCAACAACAACCACTTGTTTCATGGAAATGTTACAAGAATTAAGCTGGAAAATCTGGCTGCTGTTGAGAAACACTTTATTCCCCCTTTCCATTCTGCCATTTCACACCACTGTCTGAGTGGAGACACACGTAACATGTTGCTACAGTTGCTATGGAAAACAATTGTTTTCATTACAACACAGAGAACAGTATTAAGTAGTTGAGGTACTGTTAGGGGTGTCTCTGGCTTTTGGCAAACATACTTTAAGAGCTTTGTCTGCTCAATTCTCCCTGTTGTAGGAAAACAAGCATCAGAGGCAGTTACAGCTTCTTCCCACCTGGCAGCGCTCTGGATCTGTTATAATCACTCCAGAAAAGAAGAAATTCTCAGCCCTCGGGCCATCTCCTTAGCCTCACCTCTTAGTGTCACTGCTAAAAATCTTCTCAGCAAAGGAAAATTCACTTGTATTTATCACTTCAGTGAATTTATTAAAGTTAGACACCTTAAGAAGATAGTTTCAGCCACATCCTGCTAACAACCTTCTTAGGTGATCTTAACCCTGGAGTAAAGGAGCAGTTGTCAGATTGGACCAGCTAGTTGTAGTGCCTGTTCCTCATTTCCTCACTGTCTTTCTGCTCCAAGTTCCTCGTTACCATCCCATTAACACAGCCATGAGCCAGACGTGACACCCTTTAAAACCAGTTTTCTATTTTCTGTAATTCTTCCTGCACACATTCATTTTACCTTCTTTCTATTGCAAAGCTCCACATTCCCTTGGCAGGAGGCCATCCTGCCAGCCACTGCCTCAGCACACACCGTTCCTCTCCTGAGGAGCTTAATCCAAGCAGACCTGGAACTCTGTGGCTCCTCTATTCACTCCCAGTCCTATATTTTGGTTAAGTTTACGACATACCCCTGAAGACAGTGCATGAAAAGGAGGACTTCTACTCTCACCCTCCCTGCCTCACTTTGCCCTATTTCTTGTTTTGAATTACACAGGCTGTTTCCATCACGGATGGCTAACTATTTCCTACTCTGCTGCTCCCATATGGTCTGGAATCCTTCACAGCTTTGCACTTTCCCCTGAAGACAATTACATTGCATTTAAAAACATTTGTGCTGCTTGCCTTAACAAATATACACTAAAGATTCCTTGATATAAGCTGTTCCTCTGGCATACTTTCAGCTGCTATGGTTGGCTCGTCTCCTAACAGCCCTATAACAGTTCCTGACTGAAAATCTGTGACAGGGTATGGCTCTTTTAGATTGCACATTACATCTTCATCAGCAGTGGGGAATCCCTGACCCTGTGTACCACTGTTGTGACTTTCTATCTTAAACAGGTGGCAAGAGACACACTGGAGGTCAAGTTCTCTACTGATGTAACTGAAATGGGGTATAAATTCACCCTAGAGGAGAGCTGATCAGCGCACAGGAGAAACAGGAGTAGCAGCTATCCCTGATTTAACCTTTAACCTTCAGGGGAGATATCATGTGAGCATCTCTTGCACACATTATTGGAAGATGACAGGTAAAGAAATCAGAGAAAACATCCTTTAATATGAGTGCACTAATTTAGAGGTATTTCCTTCCATCACAATAGTTGTACACTCCCAACAACAAAACAAGTTAAGCTGCCTTACTTCTACAAACAAATCTGGAACACTCTTCATATGATTCTTCTCGTAGGATTCAAATAGAGCTTTTCATAATGCTACCTTTGTGCAGAGAAATTTAAAACAAATTTTTATGAAGAACTACAGCTAATCTTTTTTTCTTTTCTTGTGGTGCATGGCCTTTCTCCACATTTGCTGAGAGTAGAAGAGTCATCTGTTTTTTTCTTTTCTCTTCCACCCAAAGGGATGTTAACAGTAGCAAATATATCAACATAGAATGTCTGTACCAGATACAGGAAATCTATGAAGTATATGAAAATAATCAGTAGAAATTCAGTCAATAGAAATTCATGCATGTCATTAAAGGAGCCAAAGGAAAGAACCAGATCACAAAGCATCTAAAGTATCTGCAAGACCTCTCAGTATTTCCCACTTTATCACGGACTTATTTTTATGTTTTTGTTCTTCATTGCATGCATTTGTCTTCAATGCAAAAGTTCTTTACCAATTTCATTTGCAGACTAGCAGAGGTAACACCATCATGCTCATCCTATTAGGTTCACTGTGAATTTCAATGTTCAATTATCATATCGCCCATGCATACGCCCCAAAATTGATTAACTTGTTATTTTAATGATAGATTGCAAAGCTTAAGATGTTAATCTGCATTTACCTCAGTCTGTCATGTCATCATGCATGGCACATCATCTAAATAAATAACTTCTTTTAAAAAAAAAAACCAAACCCCATACTAGAGCCATTCACATCATCCAGATGCTGCTACAATGTGGTGGCTCTGACTTTCTCAAGTACAGATGTTCAGAATCATGCTCTATAAAAACTTACAAGTTCAGGCAACCAGATCAAAACTGATCCCAAGAACATCTGGCCAAATAGATGCACTGTTGTTTAACAAAGGCATCATCAGCATTTTTTACAGTACCTGCCTTAGTTTTTTGATAGAGTTCATTATGCAAGGCGGTGATAATAGCTGCAGAGGAATGAATATGTTTTCTCTTAACAACATTTAACGTTACAGCTTAAGCAAATTCTCTAAACCTCAGAAGCTACTTTAAGTGAAGCATGTTTATAAATAAACTAATAGATTAGGATGTAATTTATTCTACTATACAGACAGAATTTTGCAATAGCAAGGAATTTGGCTTTCTCAGTACAACACTTGTTACTCTGACTACCTGCAAGGTTTTACAGTTATTTAGGACTTGGAACCAGGGTTCATTAAACACAGGCTTCCTATGGATTTCAGTAATTTTCAGCATCTGTGTACAAGGCAAATAAAGCACCTTAGTGTGACAGCACTCATCGTGCCTGTCTGCTAGTTTAACTGTACCCCTCTCATACAAGAGTGTTTCCTTCAAATGCATGCATTTGTTAGTTCTCTGCCTAAAAAATCTACACTATGTATGCATCAAGACAAAACTAGTGAACAGGTTAAGTTCAAAATCATGCAGACACACATATTAATAGGTTACAACCAATTTTTCTTTCCTTTCTAGACAGAAAGGCCAGAGAAGGGAATGAATTTTCAGCACATTGAAGGCACACTGCTACCAAACTTTTACAACACTACTCATGCAAATGTAGCCTTCACCAAGAGGAAGTTAAGTGGAAAGCAGAAGAAAATCAACTAGGAAGTCCAGAACATACTGAATTCAACAGCAAACTTCTCTGAGAATTCACAGGATTTCATTCTACAATTTTCAACCTACCATTTTCATGTAGGTTCAAGCCTTTGGCCCATCTTTATCACAACAGCTGTGATAGTACCTTTGTGTCTACTCTGCAGAAGAACATTTGAAGCCAAAATCTGCCTTGAATTACGCTTTGTATAATTCACATGTAAATCTAAACAGAATTTAATACTGAACAAATTTACACAAGAGGATATTCATCTGACTCTAAGCTATTTGTATCCTACACAGTCTACAAAGCAAGAAAGAGAGCATATATGCAGTTTGACACGGGCTGCTCCTATTTTGCCTTGCATATTTTACTAATACATTGGATAGGATTTGGTTTTTTAATCCTAAACTCCTGGACTTCAGCACCAGAAACTCAGAATCGTGCATGCTAAGCTGAATGCAAAAAGCCACTACACTGGCCTAAAAGATGAGTGAAACCGTCCCACAGTTTGCTGTTTTCAGACTCCAACATTTGATCCCATAAAGCCTAGGACTGCAGAGACACTGCCCTCCTTAGGAATACTGATAACACATCTTTATAGCTGTATTTTCTTGATATGTATTTCTGCAGCTAACAGAGAGAGTGGCGTTCAAGAGTGGTTAATGCATTGCAAGATCCTCACTTAACTGACAAAAGAACTGTGCAGGACAAAAGGCACAAGGCTTGCATTAACTCCCACTGAATCACAGCATTGCATTCAACCATGTAACACTATCCTGCGCTGCTCCTAACACAAATATCCTGCCCTTGCTGATAATGTGACTATGTCTGCTTTGCAATGAGAGATGTGAGGGCAGCTCAAGCAGACACAACGGAAATCCAGTGGCATGGACTTTATCAGCCTGTCTGCCCACCGCTAGCCTGTCTGTACTAGTACATTCATCCTTTGTTATCAGGTGAAAGCTACCTGGGGTGTGCCTGCATGCAGCACAGTCACATGTTCCCCCACAGCAGACACAACTAATAAATAAGCACTGCCCTGAAGGAGAAGAAAGGGAAGTGGGCGGTGTTTGGAGGTGCAAAGCAAACTCAAGAAGTCTGAAAGTAGAAAGGTAGTCCAGAATCAAGAGGACAGGGAGGACCTCCCAACTCGGACATGGATGTGCCGCAGATTAGAGAGGCAAATGCTCTCAGGTAGCACATAGAACATGTCCAAACCTGGAATTTCGTAAATATTTTCTCAACTATGAGTAGTTGGTCAACACATATAAAAAAGGAACTGAATCAATGGATGAGGGGTTTTTTTTTTCTAAAAAGCAGGAGTCATTGTTCATGAAAAACTATTTCTTTTTAACCATCGCTTTAAAGTCAGTTGCTTTCCACCATTTTCATTTGCTTCATATTTGCACTCTAATTTATTTGTTTTAGAAGAAAAACTTTCTGCAACACTGGAAGAACAATACTGCAACCCCAAAAATCTCATCTGAATCTAAACCAAATCAATTTTAAGCATTTTATTAAATAAAGAATGTGAGAATTAACAAACAACACTGCACCACATGATGCAAAATACAGCGTCAGTGCCCATGGTGGCAAGTGAGAGCAGGAAAGCTGTGTGGCAGTAGTAGTAGCAAGCACAGCGAATGACAATAATGAAGAATCTTCTCAGTAAAGAAGACCATTATCAACACTATGAAAACACAACAGCAAACCTCTGCAGAGCGTGGCCTGCGCAGAACCAGACTCTTTGGATAAAAGAACTCAGATGAGGAATGCTGTCATGAAACACAAAAGGGAAAAATGAGTGAAAAGGAAAGCAGTTTCCCCAGCTCAGTGGTTAAGATCTTTTTTCAATCAAGTAACCAATATCTACTTGCTAGATAATAATCTGTGCGTTATAATACATACGTTACTTACTGATCCCTGCAGAATCACAAACAGCCAGACAGTTCTAAAAAAAACCCCTAAACAATGTACATTTTTGTAATATACATACGGTTCCTTGATTTTCTGCTTGTTTTGGCTTTGTAAACCTCCACAAATATCCAGTGGGGGGAAGATCTAAAGCAACCATTGTTTTTATGAACTCCCTTCTCAGATCTTAACCAGCCAGAATGCTGATTAGTTTATATCACAATTCAGTTACCAAGAGAAAACAGAACTTGCTGAAAACTTCTGAAGTGACTTCAATGATAAAAGGGCTTTTTGTTCTGTTTTGCTCTATAGGGAAAGGAAACCCAGCAGAACAGAGAGTCCATGTCACTGGCTTTTTGCAGAACCACCAGAAAATCTAGGCCTGACCCTGAAAGTGGCTGTATCATATATCTGTCAAGTCACAAACCAGATTCCAATTCTCACATCAGGTCTAAACGTATGTCATAAGAAACCGAAAGTCAATCAAAGTACTCATAATTTAACGATGACATGTTCAAATAGCACATAGTTCCCCTCATTTCATTTGGTTTTGTACCTATGCTTGCTACTGCCTTCGAGTCAGCAGAATGAAATGTGTCAGAGTCATCAAAGTGAACTCAAACTGATTTTAAAACAAGGTGTCTGACTTTGCAGGAGAGTAGATAGAGACTATCTGTGATGTACCGTTGAAGCTAAAAATTCTCCATCTCTCCAGGTAGCTTCAGTACAGTGCATTTGTCAATGTCTTTTAAAGACATATTAAACCTCTGCATAGGAGCTCTCATCCGGGAACACAGTGACCTTGGATAGCTGTGCCATAACATTCCTCAGACTTTCCCTTAATATGCATTCTTTTGCTTCACTTCATTTTCCTGCAAGAACTTAGGCAAAGTCTTGCAGGTGGATGAATTAATTTACTTCATTCCAATTAAAATTAGCTGAGGGGGAAGAAGAATGACACGCTTGAAAGTGTGATGGAAAAAAAGAAAATATTTGAAGAGGACTTTGGCCATTTCCATAAGGAATGGAAATAAGCCAACCTATTTTATAAGGTCAGCTGTAGAAGGTTCGTAAGGGCTGTAATGTAGTCAGGAGTGCTTTGATAAGACTCTTGGGTCCAAGTGAAAGGGAGGTGTTGTACCCCAGCCGTTCACTACAAAGCACAAGTATTCTGACACTTAAGTAGGGCCAAAACACTGTCTTACATTCAAATTGTTAAATGAGGAAGAAAATCCAGTCTGGCATAATTTTCCATTTTCTTATGGGAAGTCAGGACAGAACAATGTGCAAATGCTGGAAGGTACTACAGTGATGTTTGGCTGTGCTAGATCCCATGCCCATCTAGGGCCAATTATACTACTTACTATCAGTACAGCCCAGACTAACTCAACTCTGCTCAATAAGAATGTATCTGCACATTACCTACAACCATAGTAAATTCTCTGCAAGGGATGTTTTACAGATCAGTGCACCTGAATAAATTCTGAAGGACATGGCTTCCTGTGAATGAGTCACACATAGAACACAACCTACAGGATATCCCATGTATCTCCATGCCAGTACCTCTTGGTTTCCTTGTCTGAAAGACATTTTATTGATATACAGTCTCTAATATTGATATCCAGAAACATTATCAAAGTTCAAAGGACCAACTGAGACATCAAAAAGAGTAAATTGTCCAGAAGATGAGTTAGTGAATATGGGCTTAGAATTGCCTGGTGCGTGCAAAAAGCCAGGCTCCAGCATTTATCGGTGCAGTGTTATTGCCATCGAGGATTTGATCCAGAGAGTTTGTCTGGATATGCCGAGGTGAATCCAAGGGTAGCTCTTCTTGGCATTCAAATTAGAATCACTTTAGGCTGGGTTTTATTTGGATGGCAAAGAAGAGTCCATATTGTCTGAATGCTGTAAATAACCATGCAGAACAGGGGATAACTATGGAGCAATAATATAGATGTGCAGAACTACGAAAACATATTATAGCATTTGCCCTGTTCACATTTCCTCCTTAAGAGTCTCTCTCACAATAACTGAGATATGAAATGAAGTGTCTTAGAGACTTTGCCATGTCTGTATGTCAGTAAATGATACTATCTTTAAGGCAGTGCGCTGAGACAGGTATGTGAAGGTGGTGAGCCTAAAAATCAGAGCAATACCTCTGAAGTGCCTCCACTGTTTATTCTGCCAGAGTTGTGACAGCTATGCAAAGAAAACATGGAAAAAGTCACTCTTTTAAAAAAAACATTGAGTTATTGTGTGCACAAAATATCTGGTGTGTCATTACCACGAATTCAGCTTACCCGTAGCTTATCTTCAGTCTTAGTGGATTGCTTACAGTCGGGATGCCAGACAGTGGAACCTGAGGGAGAAAAACCCCATCTTTATTCAGAGTAAAGCAGATGACTTCTGGTCATGACAAGTCAGTTATTAAAGAGAATCCCTTCATTGCATCAGATGGTGAATCTGTATGAACTATGCAAGTAATTCATATTCAATTCTAGCTCATGAGAAATGAAAGTAAAACAAAAAAAAATTCAAATCCTTGGCCCATCTAGAGCAGTCTTTTCCTGAGGCTGTCAAAGCACTTGCACGCATTCGTAATTAAAACTCAGTCTCAAGCAGCAAGGGAGTCAGTGAACACCAGCTGGAGGAACTGAAATACAGAGGGTTCCTCTCGGCAAGATGGAGGGTAAGAGCAAAAGAACTGGGCCATGGCTACCTGATCTGTTCTCCCCTTATGTACTGCACCACACGTAGAAAGGAAGTCCATTAATACTGAGAAAGCCCTGCCTATGACTTCCTTGAGGAATAGGTGTCATATTCAGTTACTGTAAAGTATTACTCGGATCACCTCTCCCCTGCAATTATGCAAAACGCAGCAGGAAATGTAAAATTAGAAAATTCACAATGCACCAAAGTATCTCACCCACTGCATTAAGGTAGAGAGGCCAGTACGACACAGGTGGGACAAAGCAGCGTGTGAAAGAGCTTCTCCCTAGATCACAGTGTACCATACTTGCCATTGGCACAGACATCATTTCTACCCCTTGCTCCACAAGGTCACTGGCATGTGTTCCACTGGCATTTCCACATGGCATATTCCAGCTACACACCCTGCTAAAAAAGGCAAAGTCCCTGCTGTTTGTGTCCAAAACATGAGATTCTCTCTTATGCTGTAAAAATGGAAATATCTGGCTGTCCCCAAAGGCTGAGCAGTGTCAGGGGCAAGGAGCACTTCCATCCCGTTTCAGTTCTCCTTTGGAACAGAGTGTAAACTGTGGTCACTGCTGGGAAGCTGCTGGCAGGTATCAGCCAAGTTGAAATGGAGCAGAAGCTAATGCTGATTTTTAACACTGACTGCAGCTGCAGTCAAATTCAAACTTCATTCCAGTCACCACAAAGCCAATATAGAGCCTTGCCTGTCTGCAGGGGAGAATGTCACCTCTTCACTCCGTCCACAAACAGAGCAAAGTCCAGGTCTCCTGCTGGTGACTATTAGCTCAAGTGCAGTCAGAGGAAACCCCACCCTCAGAGCCCAGGAGAGGTATGGGTCAGGGCCCCTGGAAATTTTGTTCTAACGAGCCCTTACATGGCTCGGTACAGAAGTAAAAACCAGCAGGGATGATTTCACTTCCCAGCAGCACACAGTATAATCATCATCAGGAGACTGGAGGGAATGCTGTGACTCTGGATCAGGGGTCTGAGATGTTTGGCTTTGAGTCTAAGCCGAGGAAGAAGAAACTGCGCATTTGGCAGGAGGAAACGATCAGACAACAGGGAGAAGTGCACCAACAGCCTTCTCTGTAAACAAATAGCAGCCTCAGAGCCAGGACCCCACAGAGCCTGCGAGATCAGGAGAGAAGCATGCCCTGTGCATTTGCTCAGGAGGTCAGACAGATCCAAGCACTCAGGAGGAAGGGAGTTCATGTTACAATGCTGATGAACTAAGACTCAGAAGGTTTAGGTTCAACTCTCAAATTCAGCTGTGAGCTTCCTGTGTAACACTCAGAAAAAGAATCTCTGTTCCTCTGTACCTCAGTTTCTTTTCTATTACACTATGTCCACCATAAAATAAAAAGCTGTCACTGCATTTTCAGGCAGTATTTAGCACAAACTGGCACAATTTTAGGGACACCCCAGGAGAATGCTGGAGCTGCTGAACGTGAACAAGAAACGCATGGGAGTCTGGATGTCATTTTCATGGTGAAACTTAGCTAAGGGTTGTGAGGTTTGGGGTTTTTGTTTTATTTTGTTTTTCCACAAAGTGGTAAGAGGTTTGAAATACGTGAAATTTAAAAACTCAAATCAGATTGAGCAGGCTTAAGAACTTAAATGTAAATATTTTTCATGATCTTGAACTCTGAGCCACCTACAACTTGTCAATTTCATTCATCTAAACATGTCAATCTATTTTGAAATGCCTGGAATGGTGCAAATTCTCAAGCTACATTGCCGCTCTTTTTCTTACCAGAAACAGTTCAGCAAATTGTGGTTATTCCCATTCTCAACATATGTTTGCTCACTTGGCAGACACCAACCAACATGTTCATTTATTCAGCTTTTTACTTTGCATGTACCATTGTTTCACCATACAGCTCTCTCAAAATCAGTAACTCATGCTATTATTTGTACATTGAATAAGGCTGAAAGCCTCTGTGAGAACCAAGTGAAGCATCCTTCTAAACATTGAGGAACATCCTAGCTCAGCAACAGTCTTCTGGGGCAGTCCATAGAGTAATATATTACTAGGAAGTCAATGGGAAAGAGAAAGTTTCTGATGCTGCTTCCTTTTCATTTTCCTGTGTTGGAGCAGAGTGCTTCTGGTAGCATTATTCAAACCATCCTTAACCTAGAAGGCCCCAAAACGGACAGCTTGTTTTGCCATGTTCTCTTATTGCAGGTTTCCTACACATTTCTAATACAAGCAGCTACCACAAACCTGCCAGGGTCCTCTATTATACAAAGCAATACCAACACCAGTGCTTTCATGTCCTGTGCAGAGGACAATTAGAAGTGAGATGGAAGCTGCCTATTTTCAAATATTTTATCAACAATGTGATTTTGGTTCTAGCTTCAGTGTTGTGGTGTCGTATTTTTATTTCAGAGAAATTCTTGGAATGCTGTTATTCTGCACCCTAGAGTAAACAATTTGGATGCAGTCAGGATATACATTTCAGCTGAGAGCTTTGCACAGGAAAAGCTTTTGGGTCACTTACACTTACAAGCATGCTGAATTCAGCAAGGAAAGCTTTGGCAGGACAGTCTGGAGCACACTCAGCAATAACATTATTTAGTCAGAAAACAGCTTATGAACAATAAAGCAACGCAACTTGGGCTGCTCCTCCTCTGAGACACAGTGAGCACGAAGAACATTAATTCACAACCACAGAAAGGCAGATACAGCCAAGAGGAGGTTGATGGCAGATGCAGGAGCCAGGTGTCTCTCCCCTCCTAAGTATGCAAATACCTAAGTATGAGAACACTCTTGAAGGTAGGATGGCTATAGTCCTCCTTGCCCATATTGCATGGGGATGGTTTATAAACTCCTGAGGTCCATAACAGAAAAATTACAAAGTCTGATTTTCTTGTTTTGGAATGGAGAGATCCTTACCTTGCAGATACATTTCTTCTCCTTCTGTGAACATTTGGTTGCACCTGCTGCATCGTGCACAGCTTGGATGATAATGCTTGTCACCTGCCTAAACAAAAATAAAAAAGGGAAATGAGGGACCACTGCATTGCACTGCTTTGTGAACACTTATTATTTGCTGACATTTTCCTTCTGGTTCATCTGTTATGATACAAATTGCCCTTGTGATGTGACAATAGTGATGAGAATGTAAGATCTGCCATACTACTTCAGCCCAGAGGTCTGTCTGGTACAGTATCCCATCCTCAACAGGGCCAGCAGCAACTACTTGGGGTAAAAGGCTGTAAGAAACAAGACAATACAGAACAGCCTTTCTTCTTCACACCTTCCCATTCAAGTCATCAGTGGTTTAAAGCTTTCCTGGCTAGAAGCTACATCACTATCTATTCTCCATGATTTGCCCAACATCTTTTTAAACCTCCATCTATCTAACAGTTCAAGGCAATGGTTGTTACACTGCACTTAAGATATTTGTGTAAACCTGCTGCCTCCTCATGTTGTCAAACAGCATGTATTTTCTTAATTACTCAATTGTTATGGATGAATTTAGACAACGAATGACAGTTTTCAACCTGCCATTTCATTCCTTGGCCTTCTTCCCAACACTGTTGATATAGGCATTAATAGAGCTTTTTAGAGCCACTTCTGGGACCATCAACTCAATTCACAGATGCCTGCCTTCAGAAGCTACACTAGCACAGACAGCTTGTGTTGAATTTGAACTATTGATGTAAAGATCCTAAATACTGTAGATCCTGTTACCCAAATCCAAATCCACTGAGCCATTTATTCTCTTTAATGCATTGATACCCATAACAAACAAAGCTTATCAGATTTCAGGCCTATACAGGACAGGAAAAATCAAGGCACAGATATTAATGTGATTTCTTCTCCTTAGGAGAGCAAAGCAACCAATGTACAAAGCTCCTTGCATCAGAAACTAAGCATGCAAAATCCCTATCAGGCTTTTTAATCTAAAAATAATTAATCCTAGAAAATGACCCTTAATAGTGACAAGTAATGAATTCTAAAGGGCTTTAAAATTGTGTCTGGCCTTCCAAACAAGTTAACCTCAAATCCTTTTTCACGAAATATCCCCTATCCGCTGAGATGTTATATCCACAAAATATCTGTTTACTCCGTAGCTGCCTTGTAAAATGTCATCAAATCCACTTCCTACTTCATTATACTTGAGACTGTAACATTACTAAATTCAACCTTTCCTTATGTCTATTGAGATGAGTAACAACATATTTTTGGTTCATGTTCAACATTGACTATACAGGCTTAGTATTTAAAAGCATTTATATGAGATGATAAAGTATATGGATTAACATACCTGACAACTACCAGACAACCAGATCTACCACCCAGCCCTTCTACAGGTAAAGCTGCACCATTTAATTTTAACGTTCTCGTTCATTCCTGCCTTAATAGCGCAGTAACTGGTTTGATTTCAAGGAAGGTGGGGAAAAGCAGCTATTCATAGAGACAGTGGTGTTTGTGGACATGACTATTTATTTTTCATTATCACTAAGAACAATTCCTGTCCAGGAATTTCAGCATTAGGAGGCCAGAGAAGAGGACTCAGTGTGCTGTTAGCCATACACTCACTCTTGAGTTGCAAAAAACCTGCACTTCTCTCATTCAGATACTGCCTTTGCTGCTGATTCCTGCTCCTTAGAGGGCAGCATCCACCAAACAGGGAGACTAATATGATTTAGTATTTTTTGCACAGCAGATTTAACCTATCAGGCAAAAAAAGGGGCTCTGGTAAAAGGGAGCATGAAAGGTCACTACAAGATATGCCTATTCAAGAAAGAAAAGGTAGTGAGGGAGGAAACACAGAAATGATGCTTGACTTGCAGCAACAAAACCAATATTGAACTGAGAAGGAAAAACACAGTTAATGCTCATTTTCTTTTTATCATTTTCATTATTGGCTGTCCTCTTTGTCTCTGACTCTCTCTAGCAACTATTTAACCCCCGAGGTGGCCGGTCAGTTCCATTCAAGAGTGGAATTTAAAAAGAAAAAAAAGAAGAAACTCTGAATGTATCTGAAATGTAATGCTGGCATCAAACCACAGCTACTGTAAGCTTGAATGCAGATGTGCAAAGAACTGCTACTTGTATACGTATATATATATATGCAGCTTAGAGCTGTGAATATTGAAAAGGGGTCAAAGGTAGATCTCCAATTCAGACAGCTCAGCACTCAGCAGATGCTGACATCCCTTTCTGCACTTTCTGCCTCACGCAGACAATATTGTACATACAGAGGAACAGCAATTTTATCTGTGTTTGGTAAAAATAATCCCCACTTTTGAGCATTCCTAAAGTCCTTCAGCAGAGTGGGGCCCACAGAGCTGCTTGTCACAAGCGATTTCAGACGTATTTGATGTAAAGATGATGGCAAATCTGATGTCCTGGGAACTGCTCCCAGTTAATGAGATATAAAAAATTCCTAAGAAGGCTGAATCACTGCCGGAAAGGATCTTTTTCAAACAGGAAGACAGTAATTGAAAAAATAGATTTGAAATAATAAACTAGGAATCTTCTCTGGGCTCTGCCTGTCTCAACCAACTAAAGAATATCTCTGCTGTATAACTGTGCCACTACTTTACAGAGCTCGAATTTTCAGTAGACACATGGATTTTTCTGAAATAAAATTCATAGCTTCTCAACAAGTATTCAGTAGGGTAGCTAAGTAGTCTGAACTGGAAAGAGTACAGGGCTTGTTATATTACTGTTAATTAACCTCTGAGATATCCCATGTGAGGTGGGATTGTGTCCTGTGAGATGCTTACCACATTCCCAGATGCAAAGGACTGAAACCTCTGTACATAAGTATTATCAGATGAAGTAGGTTTTATAAAGAAATCACCCCCTACCAAGCACCCTGATGCTCTAGCTTTAAGAAGGGTAGTCAGAATCCAGCAGAGATAACTGTACTGTGAGAGGACCATGGCATGTGGTCAAAGAAAATCACACATTCACACCTGTACAGTTTCAGCTTCTGTTCTTCCAGTCTGGCCTTTGAGGTGTGGGGGTTTTGTTTAGGGTTTTTTGAGAGTTTTGTTTGGGGTTTTTTTTGTTTTGGTTTGGTTTTTTTGTTTGTTTAGGAACAAAAAATCCATATTGCACCTACATTTTAATCAAATGCTACTTTTCATTGTCATAAGCAAAAAGTGCCAATTCTTTGGGTTTTCATAGCTACCCTGGCAGTCCTAGGCTTCTGAGGTTCCTGTTCCTTGTTTTGCAATTAATTCACAACAACTTTGGTTCGTTACTTCTACTAGCTTGATCCTAAAAAGGTCTGTATCCAGTCCATCTAATGCTAATATTAAAGAGTCTTTCACTTGCTGTGATCATACAATAAACTTTCCACTTATTTTTCTCCTCATCACAAAGCTTTTCTTGAGCATCCTTTAGAAAAGGGCACCTGAATTCAAGTACTCATCTGTCAATTGCTATAAGCAGTTTACATGTTTTTAAAAGCCAGGCTATTTATAAGGGAAACAAATCCAGAATTCATCATAATATATGTGTAGACTGTGGCCTCTCTGAAGATTTTTTCCTGGAAAAACTTCTGATATGCTACTGTCAAGAGAATATCGTTTAAATGACGTACATGTGTACGTCATGTCTCTTCAAAACAGTCAAAGAGACCGATTTCAAGTTTATCAGATCTTTCCCAGAGGCTGAAACAACTGACCAAATTTTAGCCTACTGTGACTGATGATGAATGAACACCACACCCAAGATAACACAAGCTTGCTAAGTGGAAGTGCTAACACACCCTGCACTGGAGATGTTTGGGGGGAGTTACATACCACAGCAGCTGCAGATACTGCTGAATGCTTCCAAACCAGTTTCTTAAGTTTTCCACCTCAGTAACGTGTTTCCACCTCAGTCAGGAGCGGAAGCCTTACTTCAATGGGTATCCATTGGAAAACAATCTGCAGCTCAACTAACTCAAGGCTAATCTTCCCATGCCTGACTTGCTGTAAACATCTGAGAAAACTGGTTGCTAAAAATCAGTCATTTACAAGGTATTAGGAAAACCTTTTGGATCTACAAGGGGGTGAAATATTCACACTTTTTAGAGATCTGCTCTTGCCCAGCTCTCAGGCTACTAAACCCTCATTCAGTATGGCCAATGTAGCTTCCTGTAACGTTGTGCTACTGTGCTGTGGACTGAAGGCTTGGATCTCAGCCCCGTTGGCTGTTAACAAGTAGCATTAATTCAGTGCACATTTGCCCTGAAGATTCTTCAGCCAAGGTGCAAGAAGGTTAAAGTCACTTCCTTCCCACTGTGCCTAGCTCTCCTTACCCCTTCTCAAGATCACTTCATGTCCAGAAATCCCTTACAGTTAGCTCTGCTACACAAGTATTTCTCAAGTGGCATCTTGCACCCTGCCATCAGCAAGACATCACTTTCTTGTTCAAAATACAGCTATGCAGCCACTAGGTTTTGATCTATCATATTGCTTCTGATCCCTTCTGAATTATTTCAGCTTTGGTTGAAGTGTTCAGGACAATACAAACTATCATGTGCAAACTATGACCCATACCTTAGAGGACTGTCCCTAAACTAAGTTTGAGTAAGCTGAATTCATTGCTGAAAATAACTTGGTTCTGCTTAGCTAGAAGTGCTAAAACCAACCAAAAGAATATTGCACATTATTACTCTTACTTTGCATATAAATTCTTAAATGGAATTGAATGAATTGACAGCAAAGTTTCTTGTCAAATGAAATATTAAACCTATGTGTTACTGTCACTGCTTATAAATTCTTTGTTAAATCAACTGGCACTTGCATTTGCAGTAAAAGCAAAGAACATCAGTTATCAATTTATAACAATATACAATCTCTTCTGACTTTCCTATTTATCTTCTACCCACACTGACAAATCTAAAATAGATTTTCAGATTAAATCTTATTTGAACACAGTAGACAGAAAAATTTAGATTAAAAAACCATAGTAGTATATACTCATTCATCAAATACATCCAGAGCCTTAGAACAGTGGCCAAAGGTATACTAT